TCACTTTACGCGTTTCTCACCTTCCGCGGTACCCTGTGGGTTGAATTAACCGCGTAAAGTGAGGGTTGACTGTATATATATATTCTTATTTAAGTGTTTGTCTTATATTTCTCTTACTTTTAATTTTCAATGTATTTATATACAGTACTTGTATTCTTGATTATATTCTTATAAGTGTGCTTGGACCTGTCCCTAAAAGGTTCTATCTTCACACAGTCAAGGACGTAGTGTTCAAGTGTGTGGCTATTTGTCTGGCCACACACTTTACATTTAGTTTTGTTCACATCTGCTTGAGGAACATACTGCCCAGAGGTACTTATATCCTAACCTTAATCTAGCGGTTACAACATCATGTAGTAATCTAGTGATCTTGTTACTTGCTCCATATACATGTTTCACTTGATACATCTCATCATGGTAAATTATGGATCGACTAGTGCCCGTTTGCACTTGTCTACTTGCAATTAGGAAAGAACTTATTGATGAATTTAATGGTTGTGGTGAAGTGAGTGTGGTGGTGGTGCTAATAAGTGATTGTGGTAGTGGTACTGGTCAGTGATTGTGGTGTTGGTAATAGTGATTGTGGTGGTGGTACTGGTTGTAATGATTGTTTATCAGACCACAGCTTACAGCCCAGAGAAATACAACACACATAACAGTAAGTAGATGCCCACGTGGTCACCTACGCAAGTTGACACGCCCTACAGTGACAGTAAGATCTGACCCAGGAGAGGTCACGGACTAGGTGCCAGAGTAAACCCGGCGACATGACGTGTTACTCAAGAAGCTACCCTCTAGCCAGTACACCTGTCACCTGACCAGACACACCCAGATTAGTGACCACATCTTCCGGCTCGTGACCGCCAATATATAGGCCCTGCAGCTCCCTTCTTGGACATTAGCATTGGCATTATTATTGTAACAGGGGGGGGGGAGGGACTGACAGCTCCTTCCCATAAGGAGACTTCCCTCCCCAGCTAGCAGAGTCTTCCACAGGAGACAGAGTCCAACAGCACCTGCATTCGTTCCCCCAGCCGCTGGGCCTCCCTCAGGTCACACGTGAGTCATTACATCAGAGTGATCCTTAGGGTGAGTTACTTACTGTGGGAAGAGTATCCATTTCATGTTTGTGTCCGAGAGTCAGTGTCTAGTAGCTTCGATATATTAATGTGTCCATGCCATTGAGTTAACTAATAAATAGCTGTACTTAGAAGTGGTGTTTAGAAGTTTTCCCCTACAAATATAATACCAGTTTAAAAAACTAATCGGCCACACAACCAAACTCTCCTTACCTTAGTCTCCTATTACTAATAATTCTTACTTTACTTGTACTTCTAGTTCACCCTCATTACACTGGTGGCAACATACTTATCGTAAACCCACGCCCTCCCTGGCACGTCTCTCCCATTATATACAGTCGACCCTCGTTAATTCGGACTAATAGGGGGGGAGGGTGTCCGTTTTAGCCGATTGTCCGAATTAACCGATTTAGGGGTTAATATTACATTATATTTCAAAGAAAATGCAGTGAGTTTGTCCTTAGCCTTGTATACCGTATATACTCATCTATAACCCCCCCTTGTTTACAGGTCGACCCTGATTTTTTGACCAAGAAATCGTGAATTTATGATATTCCTCGTTTATAGGTCGACCCACGTTTTTGAGGGTAATGGAACAACAAAACCTTCAGTAAAAATGCTCTATGTCCTATAAACTGAGGCTCGCCGTGCCTGAAACACCGAGTGCCGAAGTCAAATTGTTTACCAAATTTTTATTACGACACTTTACACTGAAACGCTGGTAGTTTCAACAAAAATATTGTATATTTCCATTCAAGTATTTATTCAAGTCAATTAGGAGGGAATATTATTGCAATACAACAGTTTTTAACTAAACCATTCGAAAAGCGATTACGGTAACATCTTTTGAACGAAAGAAAGCGAAAGTCATTGTTTTCGTCATGATTCTATCCCACTTTCCACTGTAATACGTACGTAATTTCAGCAAAAATATTACATTTCCGTGAATGCATTATACCAAGCACAGTATGAATAGAATATCATTGTAATATAACAGTATTTTAACCAAAAACTATTAAAAAAACGAGTAACATCTCTTGAACATCGGAAGGTTAGGTAAAATCTTTTGTTTTTGTCATGTATTTTATCCTATTTTACATTAAAATACATCACGTTTCAGCAAAACTACTATTTATTTCCGAGAATATATTCATTCAGGCGCAGTTTAGGTAAAATATACATGTAATGTAACAGTTTTTTAACTGAAAACGATTCGAAAAACACGTGTACCGTGTAGCTGATACTCAACAGCTGGTGGTGCGTCATGTGTCGTTGTAAACAATAGGAGGTTGAAGTAGATTACCAGGTATTATATTGAGTGTGAAATATCGAAAAGGTTTTTATTACCGGTATTTTTTGTAGATCAATGAGAACTGTGATACCGTATATGATATGATAAGTTAGCCTGTGCTAAGAACTTCAACATAGACTACTGAATGCACGTTGTAAGGTAATTTAGCCTATTGTAAGTTGGTGAGCTTCATTTGCTGAAGTAACTGCACAACTTTTCATTACTAATTGGTACATATTTTACGTTTCCATTGTTTACTGGCAGTAAATGATAAATATTTTTCATGTCTGAAGCTAAAAGTTGCAACCCCCCCCCCCCACACTAGTGGTGGAGATGTTACATTTAACCAAAAAGACGCTGGTGTTTTATCCGAGCAGTGGGTGGACCAGTATTTTAGGTTAAGGCCCGCATAGGTAATATTCCTAAAGAAAGAAAAAAAAAAAAAGTTCTGATTTTTCCGAATTATCCGAAATCCGGATTAAAGGGGTCCAAATTAACGAGGGTCGACTGTGTGTGTGTGTATATATATGTATATATATGTATGTATATGTGTATATATGTGTATATATGTGTGTGTATATATATATATATATATATATATATATATACGTATATATATATATATATATATATATATATATATATATATATATATATATATATATATATATATATATATATATATAAAACTTCAGCAATGGACTTGTTACGTGGAAAGCCTAGTTTCATAACGAAGAGGAGAACCAGGGAAAACACAAACATCTTGACTAAGTTGGGTTTTGTAGGTTCTGATGATGGAAAATGATTTTTCCGAAACGTCAGTGATTATAGAAACACAACTTAGTAAAGATGTTTGTGTTTTCCCTTCTTCTCCTCTTCGTTATATATATATATATATATATATATATATATATATATATATATATATATATATATATATATATATATATATATATATATATATATATATATATATATATAGGTTGACAACCCTTTATCCAAAATTCCTTAAAGCTCTGAAAACCAAAAGTTTTTTTTTGTGGGGCATTTTGTTTGTTTTTTTAACAGGGATTAGCCCACCCGGGCGTAGATCACTGACCCACATCAGGGCCATATAAAGACAACATTTTCATTGGGTTCTCTCTCAGTCACCCCTGCTGCCATCTAAGGGATAAAGGAATAAAGTCATATAAACATTGTAATAAAGACCAATGTGGCTGTGGATCTCACTTGCCAGTGTTATTACTTAGTTGGACAGACTGACTGACAGACAGACAGATACATATATACAGGTTGTACCTCTCTAGTCCGGCATTCTGTGGTCCAGAAACTCCCGTGGTCCGGAACGATTTTCCAATAGGGAGATAGGCAGTTTTTTTTTTTAACTTATCTGAATTATTAATATTATTACAGGAGTATTAAATTTTTGCCCCTCAGGCCCCAATGTGGGTCAGTGACCTATGCCCGGGTGGGCTAATCCCCTTAAAAAAAAAAAAGCTGCGGGAAATTAAGGTTTGTTTACATCCGGCAGTTCGGCTGCTCTCTCTCTCTCTGCTTGTCTATACAGAGTACAACATTTAACCCTTCAATATATATGAGCAGTAAATAAGTGTTGCTTTCATATTCTTATGTAGAGTAATGACAATATATTTTCACATGTGCGCACTTACATACGAGCAGTCTCACTTTTTTTTTACCATTAATGGTTAGCTACTTATATTGTTCCATTTATTAACATTAAATAACATTACAGGTACTTCAAGCAACCATATTCAATGTTTTACATTAATTTTACTACAGCTAAAATCAGGGTCTTATTTTCTTCAGTTTTATATGTAGAACCAATCAGTCACTGGTTTTGTAAGCTTTAACATAAACAATGCCGGCAGCCGTCTCGTCTCCTCTAATATTCCACGTATTATTAATAAATTGTATTGTTAATTTTGGACACAAACATTAATTCAATAACAACAAATTCAGAAACATTAATCAAAATATATATGAACAGTAAATAAGTGTTGCTTTCATATTCTTATGTAAAGTAATGACGATATGTTTTCACGTGTGCGCATGTTCACTTACATACGCGATCTCTCTTTTTTCTTTACCATTATCGTTAGCTACTTCTGTTGTTCCATTTATTAACATTAAATAACATTACTTAAAACAACCATATTAATTTTACTACAGCTACAGCCAAGGTCTTATTTTCTTCAGTTTTATATGTAGAACCAGTCAGTCACTGGTTTTGTAATCAACGAAAACAATGCTGTGTCATTTCCTTGTGTGTTTTAATATTCTACGTATTATTAATGAATTGTATTGCTCATTTTGCACACAAACATAATTCAATAAAAAAGACATTCAGTAATAAACAATAATGAATCTTTTGTACATAAGAGACATGACGCTGTTTACACGATTATGCACGTCGTCTGCACGTTGGCGGGCCGTTCAAACCCGTCGAAATTCAAGTTTCCGCCGTCAAAATTTTTATTTATTTATTTTTTGTGTTCCAATAAAATACGTTAAGAATTAAAAACTCTCGAGATTTGAGAAGCTACTATACGACATTTAACCCTTCAATATGTCTTCAAAGAGACCATGATGCAGAAAAAGTGATGCTAGTGCTTCCAAGCATAAGCACAAGTCACTATCTATCCAGGAAAAGGGTGAATTTCCATGGTCCGGCACCAGTCAGGTCCCGAGGTTGCCGGACTAGAGAGGTACAACCTGTATTTATTCAGTAAATTCATCACAAAATGTTTCAAAGATTCAGCCTGTTATGTACAGTGCAGGTGTACAAACAATGGTAAACAGTAAGTCAATTTGACCAATAATTCCCAACACAGCCATCAGATGATAATTTCCAGTTGGTCTTCTTTTGGAAATAAGTAATCCATTATTTACACTTGAAATAAATGTTAACAACATGCAAGACCAAACAGTTCTGCAGATCATTTTTCTGTAAGACCTTTCCCTACAACTTTCATGTAAAATTCTTCTCATCAGTGTACAGCCATATGTCTCTTCAGACCACTCTTTCTGGAATAACATTTACCACACTCTTCACACTTAAAATTCTTCTCACCAGTGTGTACAACCATATGACGCTTCAGAGTGCTCTTTCTGGAATAACATTCACCACACTCTTCACACTTAAAATTCTTAAAATCCTTCTCACCAGTGTGTACAGCCACATGCTGCTTCAGATCACTCTTTCTGGAATAACATTTACCACACTCTTCACACATAAAATTCTTCTCACCAGTGTGTACAACCATATGACGCTTTAGAGTGCTCTTTCTGGAATAACATTCACCACACTCTTCACACTTAAAATCATTAAAATCCTTCTCACCAGTGTGTACAGCCATATGACGCTTCAGAGTGCTCTTTCTGAAATAACATTTACCACACTCTTCACACTTAAAATCCTTCTCGCCAGTGTGTACAACCATATGATGCCTCAGAATGCCCTTACTGGAATAAATTTTACCACACTCTTCACACTTAAAATTCTTCTCACGAGTGTGTACAACCACATGCTGTTTCAGATCACTGTTTCTGGAAAAACATTTATCACACTCTTCACACTTAAAATCCTTCTCACTAGTGTGTACAATCATATGTTGCTTCAGATAGCCCTTACTGGAATAAATTTTACCACACTCTTCACACTTAAACTTATTCTCACCAGAGTGTACAATCATATGCTGCTTCAGATAGCCTTTACTGAAATAAATTTTACCACACTCTTCACACTTAAAATCCTCCTCATCACCAGAGTGTACAGCCATATGCTGCTTTTGTTGTTCTTTTTTGTCATAACTTTTAACACTTTTGAGACACTTAATATTAATCTCATCAACAGTCACATGTTGTGTCACATCATAGTTACTGTCAAAGCTTTCATCAAGCTCTTCACACTTAATATCTTTCTCATCAACAGTCACATGTTGTGTCACATCATAGTCACTGTTAAAGCTTTCATCAAGCTCTTCACACTTTATATCTTTCTCATCAGTGTGTTCAGCCATACAGGTATGCATCTTCAATGAATCATTACTGTAAAATAATTCACCACACTGTACACACACATAATTATTTTGGCCGTTATGTCCAGCTATTTGATTCATAAACTGGGCCATCTTTTACACACTTTACAACACTCCATACAAGAAAACATTTCCTTCAGTGTCACACGTTTGGGTAACTTTTGTATTGTATAAAAAGTTCTCCACTCTTCACAACTATATTTGCATTAATAATTCTGCACATATATGTGGTTCTTGAGCTAACTGTTGTGTGAGAAATATTTACCACAAGTGAACTTGTCTCACCAGTACAGCAGACAAACACTTGTCACATTTATATATTGAAACTTTTATCAGCAGTGTACACAAGCACAAGAGTCACAAGGTAGTTGTTTAGGTAGAAACATTGCAACACTCATCATACTGTAATTAGACAATACATAACACAGTGCATCACTTAACTGGTATTGTCAGGAGAAAGATTCACTTGTGTGAACCTTCTTTTTATTCTCACTGTTTCCTAGAACACCAACTTGACTTTCATATTTATACCTTAAGATTTGGGGAGTTGACAATTTACCTTAATCTTGCTTACAATGTTCTCCTGAAGATGTTCACTAATACAGTACTGTACTGACTTATTGTACAGTTGTGAGGAATTGTTCTGCCTCTTGTGTGGGATGGCCTCCTGATGCTACCATAATGTTCCTTTCCATCCACTCACACCTTTATGTCTGAAATAAAGTGAACAGTATCATAATGCTGAAGTTATCAGAATTTAATAGTTAAGACTTACTGGTAGATACTTACCCCAGGAGACAACTTGGCTGGCTCTGCACTGTACTCCACTAGAGTCTGTACATTGCTCACTAACTGCTGGGGATGTTGAGGGGCCGCGTATTCAAAACACCTCATCAGTTACGTACAGTAGCAGAGATACGGTACCGTAACTTTTAGACTCCTCACAGTCCCGTAAATTTCTCATACAGTCATCCCTTGGTTATAGCGCACTTGGTTATCGCGATTTTCGTCATCACGCCTCCATCAAAATCTGCACACCTGCTGTCATGGCGCATTTTTCAGGCCTCCAGTTGCCTCCAGGTGTATTGTTACCCCCTTGCTTCACCTACATCTATTGAGGATAACAATAACAATAACACATTTGCTGTAATCAGACATATCTAAGTTGCCTCAACAATTGCAACCCCAGTTGCAATTTCAAATTCTGTGTCTTTATTAGGGAATAACAAAGTCTCGGGTGCACTCCGTGAATGTATTATATCAAGCACAGTATCAATAGAATATCACTAATATAACAGTATTTTAACCGAAAACTATTAAAAAAACGAGTAACATATCTTGAGCATCGGAAGGTTAGGTAAAGTCTTTTGTTTTCATGTAGTTTATCTTAATTTACATTGAAATACATTACGTTTCAGCAAAACTAATATTTATTTCTGAGAATATGGAATGTAATATTTTTGCTGAAATGACGTACGTATTACAGTGGAATGTGGGATAAAATCGTGACGAAAACAATGACTTTTGCTTTCTTTCGTTTTAAAGATGTTACCGTAATCGTTTTTCGAATGGTTTTCAGTTAAAAAAAACTGTTGTATTACAATAATATTCTATCCTAATTCACTTGCGATGTAACAGTTTTTTAACTGAAAACGATTAAAAAAACACGTGCACCGTCTAGCTGATACGGCAGAGCCCTGGTCGCGGAGGCTTTGTTTTTGCATCGGCCCTTCTGAAGCAGCCTTTAATTTTAGCGTACGTTGAAATTGTGTTTACCGGTATATTCTTATTTTCCAGAAATATGACAAGTTTGTATATAATACAATGTTACGGTACTTTTAATTTACAAGTACAGTGACCCCTTGTTTAACGAACGCCTCGGTTAACGAAATTTCGATTAACAAACTGCCTTCCATAAGGATCTTCAATCCGGTTAACGAAAAAAAATTCGGTTAACGAATTTCTTACGAACCGACCTCAACATGTTTTCGCTTGCACTGACCGGGCAACCAGCTTTAGTATCAGTCCGCCAATACATTAATCGGTTCTAGGGCTTAAATTCCTTACTATTTTAGTAAATATCAAGAAGTTTATACTATTCAATAATATAAAAAGTTTAATATTCAATTTTTTAGTCATTTTAACAATTATTGAACATAATTGAAGGTAAAGTGACTAGTTTAATGCGCGGCATCCAGCCTCTTAACACAGCAAACAGGCGTTAGTCTCTCTCTGTTTTCACTGGAGGTAACATCTTGCTTTGAGACTCTCTTCAACTAAACGCTTTTTTTGTGTGTTCCAAGCAAATTATTGGTCATTTTGAAATATATTTTACATATTGACAATATATAATGCAGTGCAGTGTTGATTTAAAGAAAATAATCTTGAATTACACCAAGAGAGCTAAAATTTTATGGGTGAAATGGTGCCATGGGGTGACTTCTCTTCCACCCCAATGCCTTCTCTTCTTCCTTCTCCTCCACCCCCATTCTAAATCCCATCATCATCATCCAGGAGCCTTCTACATACACACCTCAAAGTAAGTGAACTTTTCTACCATTTTTGTTGAATTTAGGAAATTTTCGGTGAGCTGGAGCCAATTACCCAAAAACCCATTGAAACAATGGTTTCGGTTAACGAACTTTTCGGTAAACGAACGACCTTCTGGAACGGATTGAGTTTGTTAACCAAGGGGTCACTGTAATTGAAGTACATTCAACTCGCGCGCGGCACCTCACACGGGACACCACCCGCTCCCGCAACCTCACACACACACGCATAGCTCTCCCTCACTCAAGTCAGTCTCGCTGTAACCACACTTGTGTTGACATCAGCACTGTAGTTGCAAAAATATTACATTTCCGTGAATGTATTATGTCAAGCACAGTATGAATAGAATATCACTAATATAAGAGTATTTTAACCGAAAACTACTAAAAAAACAAGTAACATCTCTTGAACATCGGAAGGTTAGGTAAAGTCTCTTGTTTTCGTCATGTATTTTATCCTAATTTACATTGAAATACATCATGTTTCAGCAAAAGTACTATTTATTTCTGAGAATATGGAAATGTAATATTTTGCTGAAATGACGTACGTATTACAGTGGAAAGTGACGAAAGCAATGACTCGCTTTCTTTCGCTCAAAAGATGTTACCGTAATCGCTTTTCGAATGGTTTTCAGTTAAAAAAACTGTTGTATTACAATAATATTCTATCCTAATTCACTTGTGATGCAACAGTTTTTTAACTGAAAACCATTCGAAAAGTGATTATGGTAACATCTTTTGAACGAAAGAAAGCGAAAGTCATTGTTTTCGTCACGATTTTGTCCCACATTCCACTGTAATACTTACGTCATTTCAGCAAAAATATTTCATTTCTGTGAATGTACTATATCAAGCACAGTATGAATATAATATCATTGTAATATAACAGTATTTTAACCGAAAACTATTAAAAAAACGAGTAACATCTCTTGAACATTGGAAGGTTAGGTAAAGTCTTTTGTTTTCGTCATGTATTTTATCCTATTTTACATTGAAATACATCACGTTTCAGCAAAATTACTATTTATTTCCAAGAATATATTCATTCAGGCGCAGTTTAGGTAAAATATACATGTGATGTAACATTTTTTTAATTGAAAACGATTCGAAAAACACGTACCTTCTAGCCCTGTTCAAGGAGAGGACTGGGAGAAGCTGTTTGGTGCTGCAGACGATGGCAAGGAAAATGATTTGGATGGATTTTAATGAAAATATTCAGAAATATGGTATCGTAGTATTTATTCAAGTCAATTAGGATAGAATATTATTGTAATACAACAGTAGTGACGATGTGGAGGAGGCGGAGGGACAGAGCGGGGAGGAGGTGACTGGCAGGAGCAGGGACGAGTGGAGATGCCAGCCAGTACATTACGGGTTTATCAATTGTTTTTATAGCTATTTTTGCATTTTAATGTTAAATACTGTACATTACATTTCAACAAAAATACCATATATTTCTGAGAACATGGAAATGTAATATTTTTGCTGAAATGATGTACGTATTACAGTGGAAAGTGACGAAAGCAATGACTTTCGCTTTCTTTCGTTCAAAAGATGTTACCGTAATCACTTTTCGAATGGTTTTCAGTTGTGGGATTATAAGGCTAATGATAGGATAGAATATTATTGAAATACAGTACGAGTACAACAGTTTTTTAACTGAAAACCATTCGAAAAGCGATTACGGTAAAATATTTTGAACAACGAAAGAAAGCGAAAGTCTTTCGTCATGATTTTATCCCACTTCCCACTATAATATGTACGTCATTCCAGCAAAAATATTACATTTCCATATTTATTCCCGAGAATATATTCATTCAGTCACAGTTAAGGTAAAATATACTTGTGATGTAATATTTTAATGAAAATCCAGTATCGTAGTTTTCTCTTGTTTCAAATTTAATTAACAAAGATTGATGTTTCAAATGTAATGAACAAAAATTTATGTCCAGTATCTATAAATTAACTTTAATAAATGAATACTTTGTTTTACATCGTCCTGTGCTACCATACCATGGATTTGGCTACTTTGGGCTTGCTATGATGACGCAAGAGATCTGCCCTGGCAACTGTACCGACACTCACAGCTGGTGGTGTGTTGGTGCATCGTTTCCATTGTTTACTGGTAAACATGCCTCAGTGAAAAAGTTATGCCTAGATCAATCCTCCCACAACGTGTCCTGAAGATGTCTGACCGCCCCTTTGATGAGTTCCAAGAAATCATCCTTAAGAAACATTTTGAAATAAAGAAAATTGAAGTGGATGAAGCCTTCCGTATTGTAAGACAAAAAAAGCGCGCTTTTAATATGACCATACCGAGTTATTGGAAAAAGTTCATGTTGGACTACTGTTTTGATAACCTGAGACGTGAGAGTTCTGATCTTCAAGCCAAGATAGACCACAAATTGGCACTCCTTATTAGAAATAGTGATTGGACTAAGGATGCCAATAACAACTGTGTAGTGAATCTCTCCTCTAAACAACTAGACAATGATACCTTGTGTGCCCTCGGCTATGGTTTAAGTTTTGATGGTTCTAACAAGGGAGTCGACAGTGTTGACAGCCAGAGCATTTTGCAATTTGGAGAAATTCAGTAATTTGACAAGTGAAGAAGTGAACTTGTGTAAAGGTGTTGTGTATGCATCTATGTCCAAGCCTTGTGTTCCAAACTGTCCAGAAAGATTCACCAAAGCAATCCAAGCCCTTAAGAAAAATAAGGATCTACATGTCACTAAAGCAGATAAAGCCAACACAGTAGTGATTTTAAACAAAGATGACTATATCTCTAAAATGAATGACCTTTTATGTGATACTACAACATATTCTAAACTCATAAATAATCCTCTCAACACTGTCAACACCCAGTTCAACAAAAAACCTGAAGTCCCTATTGAGAGGCAAAGCTACTCTCATTAAACATCTTACTTCAACGTCCCCTCCACTGCCATACATGTACGGTGTAATCAAGACCCACAAGCCCAATAACCCAGCAAGACCCATCATTAGCTCAGTTGGGTCAATCTCTTATAAACTATCTAAATGGTTAGTTTCTTTACTAAATCCCCTAGTTGGCAACATTTCTAACTCCAATATCAAGAATAATATGGATCTGGTTGATAAACTCAATAACTTACACATTAATCATGATTTTAAACTGGTCAGCT